CCCCCTTCTCCTTCTTACATTTTTTTCCATCTTTCAACAGAAAGCATCCCATGCACCACTGTGGCTCGGTGAAGCAGGCATGCAGGCCTCCGTCCCTGGGCTCAATCCACTTATGTAACAGTGTCAGTGGAAGGAGCACCATCTGGGCCTGGAGCTACTGTACGCTCTGTCCTCACTGTGTGTGCCTTTCTGAAACAGAGGGAGGAAGGGCATTGTTGCTGATCGCTTGTTTGCAAGTCCCTTTTTTATGAACATGAATCTCTCATTTTTGGTGATTTTTAAATATCACAAGACCGTTGAGTGAATAAACCTTTGGGTTCCACTTTTGTTTTTTCAGAAACTGTGGGTGTTAAAGGTCACCCATTATGCAAAATCCACTTGTTCATGTCTCTTCTACATCAACATGTGTCCCCTCTGTGGAAAGAGACTGGAAGTTTCAGGAACAAAGATTCTCTCTCTTTTTGTCCTGATCCATTTCTATAAAAACCTGTCTGAAAATGAGCTGATCAGATTTTGGCCACTTTATGATGTCATACCGATGTTTTGTCTTGTGTAACCATTCGTTAATAANAAAAACAGCAGTTCCCTAACGTTCAGAAAGTAGCGATCTGTGTGCTCAGTATGTTTGGATCAACATACACATGTGAATCAAGCTTTTCACACATGAACTCAATCAAAAGTAGCACTCGCTGCTCCCTGACTGACAGCACTCTTCACCAATGTCTTAGGATTGCATTGACATCCTATGAGCCAAAAATCACTGCTCTTGTTCAAAACAAAAAATGTCCCTTCTCCCATTTAGAAAGTCAGCGATGACAAATCACAAATGAGGTGATAGTAAGCACCTAGTTTACTATAGTAGACGTGTAGTGTAGTATTCATTCATAAGTTAGTTACCCGTATCCCTTGTTATGGGTTTGTGCACTGAAGGGTTTGACAGTTCTTTCTGTATTCATTTAAATGCACTTTGTAATGTGTCTGGGTCAAATGTGACCAAAACGTATGATTTTTTGTTATTACTTGAAAAGTGAAAAAATAGTATTGCTACAGTACTCTTTGTGTTGCATTGGAGCTCTTTAGCTGTTTTTTTTGTATGTGAGGACATTTATTAAGACTGCTATTATTGTATTCAGTAAATGCACTTTGTGATGTGCCTGGTTCAAAAAACATAACCTAACTATTTGACTTCTAAAGCAAACAAATGTAATGCTACAACTGTGCACTTTTATTTCAGATTCTGTTAAATTAATGCTAATTTGTTGTGTTTTTATGCACTTTTTGACCTACCTTTGTTAGATGAACAATGAATAAAAATGGCATGTTTTTCATCGCAGTAATATGTGTTGTTTAAAATGTGTCACTACCCGCTTTTTACAGGCCGCTGAATGTCTGGCCCAGATGAATTTTGTAGTTATAAAATCTGGCCCAACTGAATGTGTAGTTGAATAGCCCTGATGTATGGTGCAAAGCCAGGGCTCCATCAGCAGTATTTCCAGGGAGATGGATGATAAAACTGGAATCAATGCTTTCTATTCTCTGCCAATCTGTGTTCATTTACTTTATATCATTTGTGACCTTCTATTGCGCACTAAAAATAGCCCGGTTTGGCTATGACTGTGTGGTGGTAAAAGAAAAGACAAAATAGGAGCTGGAGCTACGGCAAAGACTAATACGTGGGCTAACAAGCATCGTTATCGTTGCCTAGGAAACATTACCTTTGGAACTCCGTCGCTCAAGATTTTGGAGAGGAAAGAATGAAACAAAGAGGAGAGTTTTGCAAAGAGGCCTTCATGCTGAAGGTAATGGAGTGGAAAAACAAAAGGAAAACAAAGTGAGAGAGAGGATGGTTAAGAAAAGACAGATGGGGGGGTAATGAGCACCGACAAATGACATGAACACAGGCGTTAATGAGCACAGATGAAGGATGTGACATATGACAGCTTTGCACAGAGAGTCAGGTGCATTGGGCTGGACTTTGGGATGGCATGGCGGTGGTCCCACTGACCATGTTTCCGATGGACCTCCTCTCCAGCAGCAGGCGGAAGCGGTTGGTGGTTTTCTTGTTATCCTTCAGACCCTGACCCAGCCCCCGATTATCATCCTGCATCAGCCGCCGGTCCATAATCACTTCAAGCTGGCCTGGGGGGGAGGAGGAGGAGATAATCTATTACACTAATACAGCAGCCTGCGTATTGAACTTTCAGTCGATGGAGACAAACACTTTGAGCTATCCATCATATACAAAAAAACCTGCATTATTCTCATAACGATGATAAAAGGATTAGCTCGGTACATTGACGTAAGAGAGTGAACCTCTCGAAGGACAAGAGGGAGCGATAAGTGCTTCAATACGATTCCACAAAGCGCTACAGAACAGAGGGAAAGAGAGAGTGCATTTCAGATTTGATTTTCACTCAGAATGAAATGAAGAATAACGCAGAAACATTCAATAAACTGTATGGAGGTACGGACCGCTCTCCAGACTGGTGACGCCCAGAGCCTGAGCGGTGTGCAGCGTCAGGCGGTTGTTGCTGTCCTGGATGTACGCCTGGCTGGGCATGGGGTAGAAGTTGGCCTGCAGGGGAAGCTTCATCAGGTGGCGGCGCGGCTGCATCTGCAACAAGGGAGCAAACACAGGAGAAAACAACATGTCAGACTTCAGAGAAAAAAATGCATCATACCAAGTTTTAAGAAAGGCGGTAACTAATCACCACTCTGGGAAAACTATTGTTTTTTTGTTAAAAGTTAAAAAGAAAACATAAGACATATATGAGATATGTCCCTCCACTCCTCAGGACTACTCCAATACTTCCCCACAAAGAGGGACCATGAATCATCACCCTGTTAACCCCATACCATAAAATAGGGTTCTGGTGGAAATTGGACCACATGACAGCCAATCAGGTGCAAAAGTGGTAAAGTGACAACAAACAAGAAAAAAACTACCCCGGACACCTCTGGTTTAAGCTGTGACAGAATTACCTAGTGTAAAACCTTTTATTTATTTGGCAGTATTTGTAATTTCAACAGACTGTCCCATGGAAAGAATATCCAGGAGTAAGTAACAGCTGTTGTCTCTGCAAAGCATGCAGGGTCTAAAAGGAGAGCAGTCTTTTTTCTCTCCTTTTAATATTCATATTGTAACTGTTCTCTTCAAAATGCGATGGTGGGACAGACCTGGAATCCGTTGAGGTCTGTGTAGAAGACGTCCCCACTCTGGATGTCAGTGACCAGGCGCATCGCCAGCTCCTTATTGGTCTGATCACGGATGTCCACGGCGGTGGTGATTTCTATAGAAAGCCCGTCCACCCCTGAAGGTACAAAACCAAAGAGGGAGAAGGAAGGGAGTGGAATAAAGTATTCCACAAATTCAGGATACATGTGAATTACAGATAGCATTGGGCAGTGGGTTGCACAACGTTTACAAACAAATGTAGCTTACGGGATATAAAGATCCTTATTGAAATATAAATTGTGGTTTTGTCCAAAATATTAGCCCTTGTTAGCATGTGGTGAATTTCACTAAAAGACCTTTTGCAAAAGCCATTTGAAGTGATTCCATGTGCAGTTTAGTTGAACTATTACCTGGCACATTGTGTATGCGGATGGTCTGCTGAAAGTGCTGGTAGTATGCCACCACCTCGGAGAAGAGAGGGCCCTCCACCACGCGCACCACGGGGGGCTCTTTCTGGTTGTAGGGCTAAAAGCAGGGAGCGAGAAAAAAGTGGAATTATGAATACAATTTGTGCTAAAAATAGGAGAGAAGGCAATGGAAGTGACACAGTTTTCTTTACATCAGGAAAGGATGAAGCAGCCTTCCTGCCCCGAGCACCCCAGCATGATACCATGACACGAAACCCATGGGAGAATCTATCAAAGCCTTTTGAGAGGCAAGTAAACATCTGAGGTGCAACTATCGAGAGAATACCTTTGCTTTTCCATCAGGCAGGAAGAGGTAAGCGCCACTTTTGTCTTTGGAGGGGCGGGTGCCGTAGACCATGAACTGAATCTGAACCTTGATTTCCTGAGGGTCATCCTTTCGCTTGATACTCTGCAGATAAAAAAGAAACATGAATAGAAACAGAGCACATAAAGAAAACTGAATAAGGAAAGAGATGAAAAGATGTTTGAGTCGCAACAAGACACTCCATGTTCACTTTGATCAAAACCCCAGGGTTCATTGGGAAATGAAGCTCGTGGGCTTTTACTAGCTAAAAAAGATCAAGGCTAAAAACACATGAGAGCATCTTTGATTCAGATGCAAAGTGATCCGATGTAGGAGTGGACGAAACACAAACCTCCAGCAGGCCAGTGGTTCCAGAGAAGCCCAGGGTGAGAGTCTGGCTGCTGATGAAGAAGGTCTGCGGCTCGGCCTGCTGAGAGCGAACAGGAAGTGGGTCCAAGGCTCGGGCGGAGGTGCCGCGAGCCGACAGCCGGAGCAGCGTGTCGGAGCGCAGCGTCAGGGGCGAGTCTGCCGAGTCGTACAGGTGAAACACCGCCAGGCCCAGAGCCGGCAGACGGACCATGAACGTAGCCTGGATGGAGAAAGAAAGGACATTTGGATATGGAAAAATAAAGCTTTCATACACACTAACATTTGAAAAAGGCTGTGTTCTACAGCGCCGGCTTCATTTTCCTTGTTAATCTGCAAGAGAGGACCGGAGAGGACCACAAGCCTTTCAATAAAAGTGAAAAGCATTTGGACGTTAGCTACAGTGTGCTGTAATTCAAATGTGATGAGGTGGTGTTAAGTAGACAGTTTGTATGCCTCTGCTACAGTTACAGTCATTGCTTTCTGTGAGAGGACAGAATTTTAAATGGGCACAATAAAGGAATCTGATCAAAAATTGTGAAGCAAATGGGATGTTATTTTATTAGTGAAGATTTAATTTACAATATGAGCTGAATCAAGGGAGTGTGTTTTTGTTTTGAGAACGACATGTTATTCTTATGATATGATGATGATACTACACACTAGTCTGAGGCCTTTTTGTTTAAAATGATATTCTGATTTGAATACTATTAATTGCGTTTCTGCATTAAGTTACATATATATTCTTTTGCCAAATGCTTCCGTCTAAAAGAACTTTAGACACACACCCAGACACACACACACTCTAATTGAGGTCTTTAACTTCACTAGGCAACACAGAATTATGGTACATGGAGATATAATCAGAGAGTATTGTTTTAACATTGTTGTGCTATAACAGTTTCGACTCATGATGGACAAAATGTATGCTACAGAACAAGATATGTCTTTTTGTATGCATTCTTCTTCATGGTCAAAACCTGGGGGCCCTAAATAACCCACAATGCAACTCAGATGCCAACAACTTGATCTGTACACATGCAACTTCAGTGTCTTTTTGGTTCCAATCTGAACATGTAACAATAACAGACCCAGTGTAGACAGTGATGAGGTCTGTGCACACACTGCCGAATGGATCTATTCTCTTACCTCAAACACCTCTGCACTCATTTGACTGGCCGAGCTCCACTGAGCGCTCAGCTGCACGGGGAGGGTCTGTCCGTCCTCAGTGAGCACCCGCACCCTGACCGTGTTGACCAACACTGTGACCACGCAAAGGCGCTCCTGCTCGATGGGGTTAAACAGAACCAGGTACCTGGGTGAGAGGAGGAAAAAGCAATCAGAAACACAGTAAGGGCGAACAGTGTAGGAGGCGAGGGATATGAAAGTTGCCGGGGGATGCAGATAATACCTCGGGCCTGCTGGGTCCAGCTCGATTAAAGTGCGCTGAGGCAGAGAGTCTTGAGTAGCACGCCTGTCATCCTACAGAATGAAGCATGTAACAAAGGGAACACACTGAGAAGCCTGCGTATTCTGTCCCCTGTGGAAGTATTCAGACTGCGGGTTATACACTGAAAGAAGGGTCCTTCCATGTGTCCTCTTACCGTCTCAAGGAAGGGCTCAGTCTGGTAAAAGCGATAAAAGTCTTTGTTTTTCATCACCAGGAAATGAGCAGCATTGATGATTACCCTCTTCAGACCGGTGAGTGAACGCAGTAATCTGGGGAGGAGGAGAAATAATCAATGGCTGACTGCAGCGGTCACAGCACAGAGCTCCTGCTTCAAAGTATTGAGCGGGGGTCTAAAATAGCCACAAAGACACAGGATTCAAATGAAGAAGCAGTCGTTTAGTTCATATCAATTCCATTTTGTTAACTGTTGTCTTCATCAATTTTCCATATTGAAAGATGTAAACCAACAACAACAACAACAACAAACATGACAGCAACGTTAAAACAAATAAATAATAGACAAATGAAAGGAGTTTAAACTAACCAATCCCTACTGTCATTTCATTTTGAACACTCAGACCTTTACCTGGTGCCGTAGTCAACAACCACATTCTCCTTTGCCGTGCCGGTGATGGCGTCGTGATGTTGGAACAGGCCGACAGTCTGCCTCGCGTCAACGAGCAGAGCGTAGTCTGAGATGGGGTAGCGCCCCTCCATGCCCACATGTCGAGCGCTCGCTACCGCCAGGCTGTAGAGGATCTCTGCCCCCCTGAAGAAGGCGGACGAACAATTAGCATTGGGGAGCCCTTTAGTGGGTCTGTTAGCTAAAGGTGTGTTCAAATGATTACGTTATTTTAACATGAGTGCAGATTCTATGAAAATGGGTCTTTTGTGTTTGGTTGTGGTTCAAACCGCATTATTTGCTCTGTTCCCTAAAATCTCTTTGAAATGAAATGTAAGCTTGCTTTGATACAGCTGTTTGTGGAAGTAACCCCTAGGCAAATTAGGTTTTTACTTTTAGACTGCTCACAGTAGAGAGAAACAGGAGATGAGAATTAAATACACAGTTGATAATTTATGCGAACTTAAAATAAAGGTGTGGTCATCAAATTAAACCGATGGAATAAACCAAATAAAGGTCTATTTGTCTGATCTTTAAATAAAATGATGAACATACAGAAAGGGAAATGAAACAATGTAAATAATATTGACTCGATTCAGATATTGTAAAGTATTATCAGTGATGCAAACACAGGTATGGTGAAAAAAGAGAGAACTATTCGAAGCAGGAAAAAAACAGCGTAATATACCATCTGACAAAGGCCTGTGCTATAATGCTTCAATTAACTGTTCTTTATAATATACTCAGATCAATAGGAGACAGAGATGTTAAGTTATAAATTATTATTATTTACAGCAGGGGTGGGGAACCTTTTTCCTTTCAATTTGTACAACATCCTCAGAGGGCCGTACAAATGATTGAACTCAACCTCTGCTTAAAAAAACTAAAATCACAGCCCATTCATTTGGCCTTTCTTTCATGCTGTGCAAAGAAAAAGCAACCTCTTAATCCAGATATCTTTCCATGACTCGCGCATGCATGCATGTGCACGTGTGGCATGACCACCAAAACAGCAAGATATGGACACAAGATGTGTGCAAATGTATTTAGTATCCATGTGAACATGATTTAAGTGGAGGGGACCTAACCTCCTCTAGGGGGGTCCGGGGGCATGCTCCCCCGGGAAGATTTTTTTTTTAAATATTGAAGTTAAAAGCATCAATCTGGTGCACTTTGAGAGCAACATGAGGAGATCTATGGGTATATCTTTCAACACCCATTTGAAACAGAACTGTAAGCAGATTTTTCTTTTTGGATATTTTACAAATCACTTATTTTTAACAACTTTTTTGTTACTGTCATATAGTATTTTATACCTGTTTTTCATTTAGTTTCATTAATAACTATAATGATCATATCAAGGTGTGCCTTAACCTCACTGAGCTGAGGTTATTTGAGCCTCTCAGGAGAGAGCTCTCTTCCACCTGGTTGTAGAAAAGCTCTTTAAATTCGTTAGCATAGCTAGCTAACCAGATGCTAATAACAACAGATCGCCACTGTGCTTACAACTAAAGACACAGCCTAGCAAACACTGCGGCATGTACGGCTCCTTATGGGTAGTGCAATATTTGAAGAGCTGGAGCGGCGTTCCGTTGCACTCCGTCAGCACACTCCTTTCAGACGAGACATAACCACGTGAAGACACGTCACGTGTTGTGTTCAAGGAACCTGTCCTTGGCCAGGAAAAAAGAGGCACTCGCTTGTTTAATTATTTTGCGATCTAGATTTCTTCTTCTTTTTTGAAGTGAGAAGTTGTCCGTCAGTCGGACGGACTAATGGGCGGACTGACAAATTGACGGACCCCCCCCCCCAAAATGAAAACTCTTCGGTTCTCCACGAATTACACAAGTCACCCAAAGCAGCGTTAAAAAAGCGGGAGGCGCCGAAAAGCGACAAATTTGCATCACTGATTATGTATACAAATGATTGTCTCTCCATCTTGGAGTGATACCAGGTGAATTGTTTGACTTCTCTTTGTTTACAGGATTGCAGGAGGGACATGTACGCTCCTAACTCCGGAGTCCGGATGGATCAGCTAAATCTTATTTGCAATGCAAAAAAAGAAACAAAGTGCCTGCTGTAGAACTCCCTGACATAAACAGCCACAGCATCACTAATACGCCTCAGCGTGTAAGTGTCGGGTATCAGTGATTTAATCTGCCTCACCTGAGATGTGATTCTAATATGCGGTCCAGGCTCTTGTAAAAGGGCCGCGAGGTGAAATAGCCGGTCCAGTAGTGGTCCTCTCGGTCTGCATAGGCGAAGAAATCTCCACTAAGCACTGGGAAGTCTGGCGGTCTGGACCCCTGGGCCACTCCCTTTGCTTTGTATACAGCGGAGAAGTAGTCTGTGAGCGTGCCGAACTGAGCCTGGAGGAGCAGACAGATGAAACATTAAAAAAATAACTCACTCAAAACCCAGCTGTGTGGGGGAAAAATAACATTTCTCATTATAATACATGCGCTTGTCATCTTACATGGCACATTCTAAACCAAACATCGCATTGTGACGGATTCTTTGTTCAGTCAGCAAGTTAAAATAAGACTGCATGATTGATTATCACAAAAGGTTGTACAGCGAAATAGCCGGCACACCAAATGCTGGAAAGGATAAAACAAGGAAAAAGGGGCAGAACATATATTTTGCATCGCTGTATCCGATAGTTGACAAACTGCTTTCTCACTTGTACGTGCAGCTCTGGGTGAGAATTCATGTAGTCAAACAGCTTTTGGTAGTTGTTGAACTGCTGATCCCACTCCAGCGCCTTGTCGTAGCGAAAGTCATCTCCCAGAGGGACCAGAAGCACCTTGCTGCGGTAGAGTTTGGACTTCTTACGGTACTGATCCAGGAGCAGGTTTGCCCTGATTGATGAAGAGGGAGAGAAAGAGAGAGTGGGACATGAAGGGGAAAACTGAGGGGACACACTTCTTGGCATCCAAACTGCCCTACTTTGCATTTGCCAGTTTTGTATGAAATCACTACGACCTTGGAAGGAGGAGGTCAAATTAGCCCTGGGGTTTTTTTCCATTAGCCACTAAAATATGTCTTCTGGAAAGTTCTGGAAAGGCTATCTGCAGGCTACGTCTGTCCCGCCGTTAATCCACCTCCTCTGATTGTTGTCATTGGCACAAGTTCAGGGTTAGTTTGTTCGTAAGGGACAAGTAGAAATAACATTGACTGATTCGCAACAGCCAAGACCAAGCCGTGTTTGTATGTGTGTGTGTGTGTGTAGCCAAATTCCAACACTATGCTAAAAAGTACGAAGTTGAAGTTTGTAGACATCATAGCTTGATTAAAAGTATTTATTATGTTCTATGTATTGCGATAATGGAGATCGTATATCTTAGAATTCAAAGTTATGTTTAAATTGCTAAGTCTCTGAGAAATAAAAAAGGTAGCTAAGCCACTACCAATTTGTTACCAGTTTTATGTAAAGGGTTCAGACTATTGAAATAATGTCTCACCTCTCTGCTACATTGGCCTCCACCACAGGTTTTGGGGGCACTTTCCAGGGGCAGTTTATCCGACCACCTGGTAACCTCTTGAAATCGAACTGGCAGCAGATCTTGGGGTCGGGCCCGCAGGTGTGAGGCACATCGTAGCTGTAGAACGGCATCATGTGGCAAAAAATATCCGTTTTTGATCCGGTGTCTGTGGAAGCAGTAAAGTGGAAATCAATTAGCTTGAGAGGGATCCATTGTTGACAGCAGCCTTAAAGTCCAGAATAAAACACAGTCATGAAGTGTGCTCTGCTCAGATTAGGGACACGTTTATGATAAATGACTTATTAAGTTGTTGGTTATCCAAGTTCACACCTACAGTGTTCAATGGGGGAAATCTTTCTTGCTGTTTCAACAAAAAGTAAATGACAGCCCAAATAGAACTCAGCATCACAAATTGATCAAATCTAACAGGAAAGGAATTTTCCATTAAGAACAAACACACACAAACTCTTCAGCAGATGTCAACTTAATTAGGAGATAATGGGAAGCTGAGGCTATTACACAGTGGTTGTTCTTCCAAAACGAGCTTAACACAGATAAGTACATGAATCAGATGACATGGCTCCGCTCCACTCACCCCAGGCCTGCCTCCACATGAACTCCAGGCTGCGGGTGGAGGCAAAGTGTTTTTTGATGGAGTAGTGAACCCTCTGGATGAGCATGCTGGTCAGGTTGGCCTTCTTCAGCAGATAGGACATGGTGGCACTGTGACCAAAAGGGTCTACCGCCCACCCGCTGCGAGGAGTGACACCTATGTATGACAGGGCGCAAGTTCAGGATGACCTCAGATATAGGAAGGAATGCACATTTTATAAAATATTCTGCCCTGCAGGGAGAAAAGAAAATAGCACAACATATGTTATCAGGCACTGAGTGAGGGGCTACTACAACTGCTGCATGTGTGATAACAAGTTTACTATCGAACATTGAGAGTATTGGTGTCATTTTCACCTATATACCGTTGTGTAATAAAAGCTTTGAATGAAGAACAAGCGAGTCTTGTCCAAACTGAACGTGTTTACTTGATATTAATACAACAGTTCTCAGCAAGAACGGTAGAACACGGGGGAAATGCACTCAACATACTCGTATTCATTTCAAATCATAACAGGAAGGAGAAAGAGCAGGGACACATACTTGCACTTCAAAATAAAAGCATTTTCTGTCAAACATTTTACCCTTAACTTTTGTCAAGAAGCAAAAAAATAAATGTGTTTACTGCCTTAAATAAAAGAAGTTACAACATATGTAGTGGAGTGAATTGGGATGAAGATATTTTTTGAAATATAAGAATAATTCATCTATGTATAAATGGATATGGAATCATTTGTGATTGTGTACCTATATTTCTCTCCAGCCACTGATGTCCCTCAATGAGCTGGTCTATCATGGCAAAGTAGTGAACGTTAGCTTCATCCGTCATAACCCAGCCTCCTGTGACAATCTCTAGCTGCCCTCCAAGGATCAATCTGTTGAACAGAGAGGATTAAGAAAGAGAGGTGACGATAATCCAGCCCTTAAGAAGGAGATTCCCAGTAACCAGATAATAGACTATTTTTAGAGAAACTACATTCCACCAGCAGCAGGTAACATCAACAGAGTAAATAATGTACGGTAGTTAAGTAAGCATCGCAGAAATCTCAACTAATTGTGAAGGGTCAGGTGGTTAAATGAAAGGCTCAGTGGTTGTCTAAGCTGTGACTCACTTGCGCATAGCCTCCTGCTTGTATGTGTCTGCCGTCTCCCACCACTTAGCGAAGAATGAAATCTCAGACCAGATGAACTTCCTTCGAGGATCTTCGGGCAGCTTCACCACTATGTTGTTTAAAATATGCTGCGTCTGGTCTGTGAAGTACTTGTCAAAAGTCTTAATCCAACCTAACAAGACAAGAAGATCAATATGAGCAATTTGCACAACAGATGGCCAACAGGATGTCAGCTTCATTCTGGACTATCTTTGAAAATAAACACCTCCACAGCCCAACACCCCTTTGTGCACCCGGCTGATATAAAAGACATGAAAACAGAGCAAGTAAAAAAAAACTCTCCGCAGTGGAAAAAGTGCTGCAACAGATCAGAAATAAAACTCATATTTTATTCAAGTTGAGCAGCTCCCCTCAGAAAGCTATTTAGCAGAGTGGTTTCAGAAGAAGTGACTCAAAAACCAGTCCTGTGCACTTTCATTGTCCAAAAGTCTAGAATACCTCAGTCTATAAATATCCTGTCAAATATGTATCTTACATATTGAAGTCCAATATATTGAAACAGCAATCAAAGTTCTGCAGAATCAAACTAATACTACTGAAATGTGAATGGTTGAGTAATCATATTTAGTAAGGGACAGGACTATTTACTGCTCTGTTTTAACATCGTTGGTTGAGATGCTTACCTGCATTTCACTGAAACCCTTAAAATCCCTTCCTTGCATTTAGTCAAATGAGCCGATAATTAAACCTGCTTCAATTGTCTTTAGAGAGTGCTGAGTATTTGCTTTCTGGTTGCCAAACTCTCCTTCTGTTGACACTACAGAACATGTTGCAGCCGAGTTAAATCAAATGCAGCTCTAAATGAAGCTCATTCGCATCGTTGATGGACTGAATGTGCAGGTTCCTTCAGCCTCACAACATATCGATAACTGTCAAGTTAGCAAGCATGTGGCAGGCTGGAAAACAAGTTTAATGGATGTGTCGAGCGAAAATAAAATCTCAGCCAACCCCACCTATAAATAGCTGGAGCTTTCCAATGCCAATATCTTTCTAATTCCATTGTTTGTGACTAAGCCGTCAATCGTGTCAACATTATGCTAATAACAATGAGAACAAACGATTCAAATTTTGAATGATGTCTGCGTCACTGGCCTCCCACTCAGATGACGACTCAAAGTCGCTGGCTTATCTACAGACGAGACAAATTTAAACTGATGGGAAAATAAGTGGTTCTGACCTGCTTGACGCTGCATCTAAAAATGATGTTTAATCAGACGGACTTTGAAACAAACACAAAGACATTTACAACTTTCAACAAAGTTCCGCTGTGTATTATAGCTTCTCAACTCACCTGGATCATTGTGGGAGTGGGGAACTACAAACACTTGCAGTGGTTCATTGTCCCACTCGTCAGCTTCATAAGTAATTTCGAAGCCCTGTTTCCATACGCCACCATCAGGGTTGTCAAACTTGAGGATGGAGTACACATCCAGCATCTAAAATGAAATACAAACTCAAAATGTGCTCACAAGACACAGTCCAACAAAAAAACGTTATAATATTTAAAAAGTTAGCAGTGATAGGATTGTTTTGTATGGGCAAAAACTGAGGCATTTTACCTGAACATCTGCTTGACCATGGCTGCCTAAAGCAGATTGGCAATCCTGGGGTTTGACAGCGAGGAAAGTGGGACGACCGTCGAAGGGTAGGACCCAGGAACCATTGGCACTTCTGAATGGCAGGTGGCCGCTGGGAGACACAGCTCCTGTGTCTGTGAGCTCCATCACAGAGTCCTTTATGTGGCTGATAATTTGGTGGTTTTCCTCCAGAAGCTGCTCCAGCTGCTCTATCCGGTTCTGCAGAACTGAGATTTGGCTCTAAAAACCAGACAACAATCATAAATCAAACAGATGTGGGAGATCATAAAACATCCGTTAACCAAAGCCACATTCTTCCTTTCTGTTACAGTGAGTAAGCGTTAGTTTAAATACTAAATTAGACTGCAATGGAAAAATATTCAGCCAAGGTAACAAAAGGCAGTTGGATAAAAATCAGTCCTGAAGATATTTCAGGGGTACAGGATAGGGCTGTTCAATTAATCGTGTTTTAAATCGCGATTACGATTATGGCTTGCAACGATTACGAAAACAACGCAATCGAAATAAACGATAATTTTTTTATTATTATTACTTTTTTTTTTTTAAATACATTTTATTTATTTTTTTTCTGTTTAATTATACTTACAGTTCAGGGTAATCAACTGTTAAAAACATACTGTTCACATTTTTTTTCTCCAATAAATTGATGTTTTCGAATAATCACATTTAATAATCGCAATTACAATTTTTGACCCAAATAATCGAGATTATGATTTTTACCATAATCGAGCAGCCCTAGTACAGGATGGGACAAGTGTATTTCCATTTCAATATTTAAAAACATATTTTAAGCCTTGTGCCAAGGGATGAAGAAATGTCAATAAATTCCTTTTATTTAGCTAGCTTATATTATCTAACATATATGGCAACAAAAAGAAGTGCAGCAGCAATAAGTATAGAAAGGGGTTTCAAACACTACAGCCATTTTTCTTACCCGTGGAAAGTTCCCGCCATTCTGTCGCCTTGCAGGGTCATGTTGGACTCGATCCAACATCAGATACAGAGAGAATACAGCCACACAGAATATGGCTCCTCCACACACTGTCACCTGTTTCCTCAACTTCATCCTCCTCTGGAGTAGGATTCTTTCCAGGGATTAAATATTTAAAAAATGACCTTGGCTGTGTTTTTTACGGCACAAAAAAAAAAGTCCTTGAATGAAATTAATCAAAGTGCAAAGGAATGGGAAATGAGCAGCTACACCGGTATTACTGTTTCCGTTGCACTCCTGCGATGAAGCTTCCCCTTACCATACTGGAGACCACCAAGGGGGCTACAGCAAGTGGCAGCAGTGGACAAGGGTACTTTATCAGCAATAGCTGGCAAGCAGTCTGTCAGCTTTGGCCAAACCACAGCCACCGGTGGGCTCCTTCAAAGTAGCCCTTGTGTTCAACCATCCAAATCGATGAGAATGCAGGAAAAGAAGGAAAAAAAATGTCGCACAGAAGGGGGTCACACAGGAAACCTAGTGTGCCTGCAGCATCATGTGTTTTGCTGGGGGCCTGCTTTCCTGGTCCGGTCCCCACTCTCACAGCACGGTCTAATCCTCCAGTATCGCCAGAGTCCCCCTCTGCTCAGTTGGCCTTCAGTGCCATAAAAGTTATCCCTCTAGGCTGTGGTAGTGCAAAGAAACAGCCTGAGAAAAAGAGCAACTTGGCTTGGAGCAGCAGCTTTTGAATCAAGCCTCAACTCTGCCCGGGGCAGCTCCTGGAATTGAAATGAGACAAATGTCATTCTTCTCTCAGTAGCATAGTTTCAGCTTATCTACTGTGGCAGCACGGGCAGTGTGTCTGTCCTCGATCACAAGCGGCAAGTTGAAATCACATCAGAGGTTGTTCTTCGGCTGTTAGGACATTTTTACATTAGTGGATCATTCATAAATGTGTATTCAGCCATACAGAGAGGAGCTGTTATTGACAATAAACACAAGTGAAATAACTGAGTGGGAGAGTGAGAGCTGAAGAGTAGAGTAAACAGGAGGGGAAACTAAAATCAAGCAGAGCATATTGGACTATGTTTGCTAACAGTACTAATAGGTGTTCCTGTTTTCTTCTTTGTGCAAATCCAACCTGATTATAATCCTCTCACTTTTCAGTCAGTGACTATCCAAGCAGCAGGGATAATAACCTGGCTCCTTCATGTGCTTAAGACTTACTGAAAAATAGCTTCACTCTCAGTAGGAAGACAAATACTTCTTAGATCATGTGTGCCACATGATGAACATTTCCAACAGTAAAGGCTTTGTTAGTTGGGGTGCCTGACAGAGAGAACTACATATCTTCATTTAAGTGACAAAATGCAATAGCACCACAGATGCCAAGCTACTCCCATGATGGCATATTTGCATTAAGGGAAACAAATGCCTTATCCCCTGTGTATACTCTCAAATTCCCCTCTAACGTGTACTTTTGGTTATTGACTCAATGGGAGGCAGCTAGGTTAAGGTTTAACTTGCATGACTTGTGGTCAGCTCTCGGTTGGCAGCTAGCCACAATGCCTTTCTACAAACTTAAGAGCATTACGATACATGCACTTGGACATTATCCTGGGCAGGCTCAGTAACATGGCACCTTGTTAATACATTTGGCTCGTTAACGTCCTCTGCCAAACTTTAATAATCCCTTTAACTGGATATCACGAACATGCAGCTAATCAAGCTAGCAATAGCCCTCAATGTTCCTATTATTAAGTAACCACACCAGTTAGACTGGTTAACAAGCTAGCAAAGACAGTCGGACAACGTAAATATAAAGGCTGTAATTTAATGATATATCCAGGTGCACCGCAGTCACAGCTGTCCTTCCTGCTGCACGGCAGATTAATGTCTATCCTTACAGACGATAGCAAGTGTCGGCTTGTTAACATTAAGACAATACGTGGCTGATATTTCCTGGCTAACCATTCACTTTCTGTCTAAATCCCCGCCAACACTCGAATACGACCTTGGGGACCCTGTCTCGTTGTGAACAAAATAAAAAAAGCTGACGTTACCCATCAAAGGAGAGTAATCCGGAAGAGTGTAGAGCCCAGCAGTGTGTGTGCTTCTAGCTCCAGGCTGACAGATTACCAATTGAAGTAGTTAGCTAGCAGCTAGCACCGCTGAGCTGCCGCAAAGGCTTCTGGGATAGAGAGGCGTTGCGCATCACTCGGTGATAGGACAGAATGAAATAATTATAAACACATGCACCATCCTTTCTTTTCTAGAGTGTGGTAATGCATCGTACATGTAGGCTTTATTGGAATTTAATTATACGATTATAATAAACAAGCACTGTAGTCACACAGGACAACCCTTTGCAACTTGCTGTTTACAACACATTACGACACTATATGACCCAGTTATCTATATTAGTTTATGTAATTTACAAAATAATATATTTAATTATCATTAATAATTTGTACATTTCGTCTGCAAAGACACAATGAAGTAAAGTCAGCTCTGTAGAATGCTCCTAACCCCTTAAAGATCTGCCTGAGGATCTGAGAGCCTATTGAAGACTTGAAACTTAAACTTGAAACCAGCCAATGGTTTGATTGAAAATTGTCTGTATTATATGTGTATGTATTTAAACTGTAAAATGTTATTCTATTTGTGTTATCTTGCAAACACACACATACATGCGAAAAAAAATGTCTTATTTCTTGATTGACACCTGAGAAGCCTGTTTGAGAAATGTGGCGATACTTTGCATACGAGTCACATAGTTGTGTTCTTTTGGTGGACCATCCAGGAAGTATTTTTGTGTTCATGGAAACTGGAGGTTAGCTAACACTTACATAATTTATTAGCAGCTTGTGTGGGACATGAGAAACAGATGGTAATGTTTTAGTTTGGCTTTAGTCAAAAGGGACTTCCTACTTGTTATGGGGCCCACAAAGCTATTCAAAATGTAAGTGTTATTTTTAGTAAGTACACCAGCAATGACATGATGACTTGTTCTGAATGCAGAATCTCTCACAAAACAGGGTTTAGATATTGAGCAAATGTTTACACAGCTGGTTTTCAAACTGGGACTCTTCTTTTTGGGTTCCTTGTTTTGCTGAAGCTTGTGGATATCCAGTAGATCAAGTATCTCCACAGTCTCATAACAAGCCAAACCCTATGACACACATACCAACTGGCCTTGCTTTTTATTCTTCTAAATGAACAAAGCTGCCATGGTAATGTGATAGTCTTAACAAAATAATGTACCTGAACACAAAGTCCACTGGGAACCTTGTCTCCACAGCAACCAAGGAAACACAACAATAGAGCTTGGCTGTCGTGGTAAATGAGAATCCCCTGGTGACTAAAGCAGGAAATACAAATACCAGTACTTTTGTTGAGTCTCCCTTCAGGTCAACACAACAAAAGGCAGGTGCACTTTGGAAAGAAAAATGTCAAATCTTAAAATGCAATGTGAAATATTTGCTCCAAAAACTATTGGTCACCAGGAAATATAAATGCTCCCTCCGATAAAGTACTGAAGTGTACATTTGAAATGTAGGGTCGTTATTTGAGTGTTTTCATTTTGTGCAACCCTATGTGCAATACTTTTGTCAGAGAGTTGATGCTACAAGTTAATTTATTGTATAAGTTGAACATACATTTTGGTCCCTATAGGTTTGTATTCTGTTTCTGGCGGGTAAATGTTTTATTGTGTTGGAGTTGTTTACATTTCAATAACTCTTGAATAGTTAAGTGATTAAATACATAAAGTTTGAAGTTGTAAATGTTGTTAATGAAGAGATTTAAGTACAAGTAGCCTAGTGGTCAACAGTCAAACAAGCCAACGTTTTCCCCCCCCCATCTAAAGCTTTAAAACTTCTCTTAATGACCCATTTGTGCCTGCAACTGAATGATTACATTTCCTTTGTTCTCTTGGCTCACAAAAGCACTACATTAAAAAGGGAGTTTTGCTTATCATACAATATTTAGCCTTTAGACACATGAGAATACACGGATATAGCTTAGAAACTATAAGCATTAGCATAATCAAGCTGTTTGCATGGTAGTGCATTGTTGTAAAAAGAAATGCATTGTAAAAAATTATAATCTGGAAGTCAATCAATACATTGTAGTTAAATAACGTTAATTAAGCGTTTATTTCAACCTTTCAAAGGCAGAAATATTAACAAGTTGTACCCGTATTAATACACATTACATTCCCATAAATATCAGGCATAGCTGAGGTTTAACCATCTCACACTACCATCAGCAATTTTAAAATCTTCCCGCTGAATGCACCAAAAACTTAAATTGCTGTCCCTCTTCTTTTTATAAAAAGCTTTTTTAAACCCCTCTGTGTCTGTGTGGAGTAAGGAAAGCCACAGAATGAAAATGTAACCAAATAAAGCAGAGATGGACACAGACATGCTCTCTGGTTCGTCTTTTCCTTATATGGTAAAGGAGCGTGAGGAGAGGGGCGGGGCTGTCACTGAAACGTCATCAACGTGCTCCGGAAACGTATCAAGATGTAACTTGTTTGACTAAAGTTAGCGTTGTTTGTGACCAAGAAGAGTATTATTAATCTACTTTTTTCATCCCAATAAGTACCTCTATATTGTGTAGTAAGCCCTGAAGATGAGTGGGAGTGAAAAAGAAAAGGTAAGGCAACAGCAGTTAGCTACTTAGCCTTTTTTTTTTTATAGCTTAGCATATTTGATTCAGTTAACATTTACTCAAAGAATTTCATTCATCCAGGGTCATTGTTGCCTACCGTTCTTTCTTTCTTTTTACACAGGAGGACTATGCAGCCCTGAAGGACGAGGGGAACACCCTTTTCAAGGCAGGAGACATGCAGGGCGCTGTCCGCTGTTACACCAAAGCATTAAAGCTTAGTGACAGCAAAGCAGAGAGAGCTGTCCTCCACCGCAACCGCTCTGCCTGCTACCTGAAACAGGAGGAGTACAGCAAGGCAGAGAGTGATGCCTCCAAAGGTGGGATAAATACATTACAGACATGGATATTGTGCATCAAGGACACCATTTAGTTTAAATGTATGGTCACCTAAATACACAATTAAGCCTATTTTGTTGCTCCATAGTTTCTCTTGGAATAAAATCACACTGTACATTTTACATTTATATATTCAGTTTAATATTTAATATTCCATCTGTCACATACTTGTGTATCTATAATACATTGCTTTATATCTTGTTATTGTTTTTTCTACTTCCTTGTTTATTTCTTGTCTTTTAATTTGTATTGTACAATGCCATGTCTTTTTATGCTGCTGCAACACAAAACATTTCCCAAATTGGGATCAATAAAGTACTATCGTATCGTATCGTATCGTATCTTATCTTATCTCATCTTATCTCTTATCTTTTCTTTATTGAAATATATCCATCCAGATGGATTAACTGTGACTTTCTGAGGTTTGGGCTGTAGCTTTCCCCCAAACCAGGATCCTGACTGAAGTACGGCATTTTAGTTGGCTTAAATGGACATAAGATTACATTCAAAATTATCAATAGCTATAACTATTTTCAAATGTCAGACCCTTGTGGAAGTGTTTTACTGAGAAACCCTTTAACTATGCATTCACCCACATACTGTTCTACCTTTTTGATTTGAGAAATCATGTCCAGGTGTTGCAAGTAATATTCAACAACATTATGGCATGTTTGACTTATGATCTGCAGCCATAGTTTGGCTGATTTGATATGCGTTACTTTATTGTTGCACTAACTGTTAGATATATGGATTTATGTATACCACATGTGTCAAACTCAAGGCCCGGGGGCCAAATCAGGCCCTTGGTGAATTTAATTTCGGCCCACAGGATAATTTTTAATTACTATTAGATCTGTCCCGCCGGTATATTGCACGCACACCTTCACTCCACCCTGAGGGTTTCCTCAGCTCAGAGCCTGAGCCCAAACATTGATGAACTTGCACCCAACATGAGATGCCAAGTATCTGGCTTGAACTTGCATCACAGAGCTGCACACTGAGTTTCAATGGATGTTTCCTTCTGCACTTTTTTTCTTGCGACAACAGGGCATGTTTGTTTTTTAGTGCAGAAGGAAACATCCATTGAAACTCAGTGTGCAGCTCTGTGATGCAAGTTCAAGCCAGATANGAATGACGAATAACGTTAGTTCCGCCTATTCCGTCATTCAATAAATCATGTAATAAATCATACATTTTTCATATTTTTCATTTTTTTCACTTTTCATTTTTAGGGGGGCCACAGGGGGGTCAGAGGCCAGTGTTAGGGGCACTGGCCCCCCCTGACCCCCCCCTAGAACCGCCCCTGCATATAGATAACATCTTTCATGTTCAATTGCTGAAATAATAATAAAATAAATGGGCTATTGTGCAGTATATTGATGTCATCACTTATGTACTTTTACTTAAGTACAATTTTGAATGCAGGACTCGCAGATCTGAGTACTGTTTGTACTAGTGATGTTACGTATTGCGCCGAGGCTTCAGAGCGTGTGTCGAGTAATCCCCGAAGCTTTTTGTGAAGCATGAATCGAGGCTTGTATAGTTTTGGGCCAGTGACGTCATCGATGACAAACGAAGCCTCACTGTCNTTTTTTTGAAGCTGTTGTTGGCCTGTGGAAAAATGTAATCATAAGAAATGTCTCCGGAAAAGCTGCAGATAGAGCCATAAGAAATGAATGCAACTTATTATTTAATGTTTAATGTTGTTTTTATAGGCAAACATTTAAGCTTTGTTAGTTCCAGGTTTAATATGTGCAATAAGTTCATTTCAATACGTTTTGCAATAAACATTGAACCAGTCCGGCCCTTGACTAGTACCGATCTTTTTATTTTGGCCCGCTTTGTATTTGAGTTTGACACCCCTGATGTAAACAGTTACACTGAATGTTGGTCTGTCACTCTTTTCAGCGCTCGATACTGACCCAGGTGATGTGAAAGCCAGGTTCAGGAGAGCTCAGGCTTTCCAGAAACTCGTTCGCCTTGATCAAGCGTTTATGGATGCTCAGAGGTGTGCCCAGCTGGAACCCAAAAACAAAGCCTTCCAGGATTTGCTCAGACAGCTAGGAGCACAGATTCAGCAGAAGGTGATGTGGGTTTTTTTTATAAAGCAAAGAGACAGAGATGTTTGTCTTCTGTTGTTAACAGTAACCTGAAG